ATCTCAAGCAGGTCCAAGGCGGTGATACTCCCCCTCTATGCAGCACTGCCGCAAGAGAAGGCTGTGGGGGGATCTAGTGGCCTTTTACAAACTAGTCAGAGGGGACCAGCAGGCATTGGGGGAGTCCCTGTTCCCCCGAGCACTGCCAGGAGTGACCAGGAATAACAGTCACAAGCTGGCAGAGGGTACAAGCTGGCAGAGGGTAGATTTAGGCTAGATAACAGGAGGCGCTACTTCATGGTTAGGGCGGCTAGGATCTGGAACCAACTTCCAAGAGAAGTGGTGCTGGCTCCTACCGTGGGGGTCTTTAAGAGGAGGCTAGATGAACACCTTGCTGGGGTCGTTTTACCCCAGTACTCTTTCCTGCCATGGCAGGGGGTCGGACTTGATGATCTGCTCAGGTCCCTTCCGACCCTACAAACTATGAAACTATATTTGTGTCAGAGACAAGAGTAGCAGTAATTGTATGGGAAGAAAAGGTGGCAATGGAAATTAGAGACAGCAGAATGAGTAGGTTATAATATAGACACCCTGAAAATAAGAAGTAACTGCTAACCTGACCTACATGTACCTGGAGTAGATGTATTGGGTAGAATAATTGCTGTCACCTGTAGTATCTTGTCCACTTCGTACTTATCAAAATAAACAGAAAGAAAGAGCAGGAGGAAATGGGAGCAAATAAGTTGGTTCTTCCTGTTCCAGTTCTTCTTTCTAATGTTTTAACTAACCTTTCACAAAATATAAGCCTTTTACATATACATTAGAGAATAAGACTACAATAACTGTAAATATTCTTAACCCTGCTATTTGTAAACATAAAATAAATACTACATTCCAGGTTTCTCTGCAGAAGAGTTTCTAAATATGCTAAAATGAGATCCTGATCTTACTGAAGTCGAAGGCAGAACTCTTGTTAACCTCAGAGAGTCAGTATTTCACCTGGGATACTAATTCAATTGATATTTTCTCATGAAAGTATCTCTATAAACTTGAGATTAAACACAAACAAACCAACTTGAAAATATTTAGAGGCATGAATATAATGCACAAAAGGGTGAAATGTATACGAGTCTTACTGAGTTCCAGGTGACTTGATTAATATTACAAATCAGAAACTGTAAATTACAAGGTCATACTTCTGGCAAGTTACCGTTCTCTCGCTCTCCCGCTTTTTCTCTCTCATCTAGTCTTTTAAGGCCCCTCTACATATGTAGGTAAAGGGGTGATGGGATCTAAGGTGCAATCTACACAAACTCGCCATCTGTCATGCCATACATGCATGGCAGGAGGCATGATTATGGGAATGCACAATTAGATTCCCATTGCACCTTATTGCTGGTGCAGGGGGAGCCCAATCCCAGGCTTGCCCTGCGTAGGCAAGAAGCAAACTCTTGTGGCTGGTAGTCCCCTCAGTGGGATCTCCAGCTGCTATTTCCCAGTCTTGGGAGTTTCATGCACCCCCAAAGCTGCAAGATAATGGCAGCTGTGCCTCCCAGCCCCATAGTCTCCATGCGCCCCCAGGGCTGTGAGATTGCAGCCTGTATCTGTGAGACTTTGGGTCCCAGTAGTTGAATGGTGCTGCTTGGACCCAGAGTCAGTAGCTGCTGAGGCTGAGAGTACTTTTCATTGTGGGACTTCCAGCCCTGGCATGGTGCTCCCCTGTGGCTAGGAGCCCTGTCAGCTGTCATGATCTCCCAGCCTCAGGGATGCATGACACCCCGGGGCTGGGAGATTGCAGCTGCCAGCTGCAGGGCTCCCAGCCACAGGGGAGACCCCGCTACATGTGCAAATTAAATCTGGATACCAACCAGCTATAAAATTAGTACGCGTTTTTGAGATCTAACTTTGTAGTTGGTTGGAGCTTTTTATGACATGATAGGCACTTTGCTTGTGTAGCTGGTCTCAAGGTAATTGCACAATTAAGCAGTTAATTGTATGATGCCTGTGACATGTAGAGGTGGGCCTTAGGGTGCAAGCATTTTTAAGTTCTTCTGTCTTGTTTTTTGTGCATACAATGCCTAGCATAATGCTGTCTCAGGCAAATGGGGTTTTTAGATGATACCAAACCAGGCTAGTTTTAAATAAACTGTTCAACAGCTATTCATGTCAACCTCATAACACAAAAAGTATCTTATTTGCTGTTGATCTCTTTAAAACAGTGTTGAGAAAAATATGAAATATAGAGGAGACAATGGTTCCTCTAATCTTAAACTCCAAGGTGCATCCAGATGAGTGTGCACGTGCCTCTTGCGGCATCTCAAAGCAATTGAGATGCAGCATGTTCCCATGCTGCATATTTTCAGTGCAGGCTCAAAATTTGATACCAGGTATAAAAAAGAAAAAAAAAACAGCAGAAAAAAGTGAGGCAAGATATGGTACAGGACCCTGCCCCGAGGCAAGCCAGAAGCTGTTTCTGTAGAAAGACACTCTGGTTTCTGGCCAGAGTGTCTCTATGGTGCTTTTGCTGTCCTAGCATGTGGGGCATGTACCCTCAGCATGCTGGGATAAACAGAAGTGGGGCAAGGTTGCAGCGTGACCAGGACCTGGGCTCTGTCCCAGGTGAGTTAAGGACATGGGAGTGAGAGGGTTTATGGCTGGGGGGGATGTGGGTGGGTGTGAGGAGTGGCAGGGGGGTGTGGGGGG